TTCTTCGTCGATATGTTATTTTTTATTATATATTATTATTTGCCGATATATTGGCCGGGCCGCAAAAATATTTGTTGTGGGCTTGCGAGTTGACATCCTTGGCCTAGGAATTATGAGAAAAAAAACTTATTTTGCGTATGCTAGAAACACATTTATTTAAGGTGATAGTGAAACTTTTAGATTATAATTGAAATTTTTTTTGAAAAATTTATAAAAATTATTTAAAAATATAAATTTTGAAGAATAAATCATAAAAAAGCGAATTTTATTTGGAATGGACTTAAATTTTGAAATTTGAAAGGAAGAATAAAGTAAGTTTAATAAAAAAAAGAGAAATTGAATAATATATACCAAATTCAATTAGCATGGAGAAGCTAAAATTTTGAGAACTAATATTTTTAGAACTACTTGTGCAATTTTTACAAAACTTAGCAGTTTGGCATAACTCTAGGCGTAGAATTGAAATATGGAAAAAACTTTGGCATGTCATTTCAGAAAAGTTCAGTTTTGTGTCAAAATACCGATATCAGAACAATTCTATATAAAAATTTAATACACTTCCTAAGTTGCGCTTTCGAGACATTAAAAACACAAGTTGAAGTTCGTCGATTGGTCCAGTAGATTGTGAGATATAGAACTATCCCCCCTTTTTTGTGCAGTGTACACTGACATATATATATGCGTCCATAAATTTCTAAATCCAGCCCTGATAATAGAAGAGTACTGAATGAAATAATGGAGAGATAGCGAGTGTGGCAATTTCAACTATTTTTGTTAACACTGAGTGCACTTCTAAAGTACAGAGATGGCTTAGTGAGGAGAGAGTAAATATCTCATGCAGAAATTTAATAAGTACTCAACAAGTATATGAAAGGGCTAGACCATCCAACCACATCATTACAAATAAAAGTAAAAAAATGGTATCAGTCACTTGAACTATTGACATGGCAAAATAAGTGAATGCAAGCATTCTTTACAGGAGTATTCATGGATCTAAGTCTTTGACAATAAAAGATTTCCAAAGAACTGTGGTTGTAAGATATTTTAAATTGGAGATTGGAAGAAAGTTTTAAAAGGTTGGCCTTACAGTTACAACCTCAGAAAGCAGTGTTAATGATGATATCCATTATGACAGGGTGGATCCTAATATAATGTAGCAAAATATATATAATATAGCTGGCAAAATGCACAAAGACGCTGTCAGTTTAAATGTTATCAATCAGGACCTCTCATATTTTGTATCGTGCGCAGTACCGCTTTAAGTAAAAATTGTTTTATGAAATTTCATACAAAATTATAAATACTACATTTTGTTAGTATAATAGCCATTGTGTGTTTTTCAGTTTTCATAGTATACATATATTGAGTGCTTTTTATGTGTTTTTCCCCATTTTATTTATTTCAAAAGCTATCGAATGTCATATTTTAAGTACTACTAATCTGTCTGCTATATACTAAAAAAGTATCATCACAACACTTGCCAATCAATTTTTAGAACATTTTTTTAAAATTACTAACTGTTAGGTTCAGTTATAACATTCATTTTGAACCCAGAATATCTCGGAATCAAGGTTTTTATCTGATTGCTTTGAGAAAAAAATAATTTAGATGTGACTAGGATTCTTATGGCAAGAATTTATCACATAGTATAAAACCTTTAATTTATTCGATATGATCATACATCCTACTAGTAACAGTTTTCTTTCATTTTTAGCAGTGAGTTATCTACTTCATTGTAAGCAATGCAATATAATCACTATTGAATAAAATATCTGCTTACATTTTATATGTATGATGGTGCTTTTATTATCACTTAGATACAGTGTCTCAAAAAAGTGATGGGACACTTGTGCTTTACAAAAGGAAACTGCAATAAAATAAATTAAAAAAAAAACATGTAAAATTTTTTGTGGGTGTGTTTCATACTTAAATTTAGTAACAATTATTACATAACATACATTTTCTCAAATATTAAAATATTAATTTAATAAAATACAACTGTTTAGAACGGAGCAGAAAATGGCTCACTTAAGTGATGGGACACTTACTTTTCCATCAAATATTTATCCAAAAATTTTACTTTTTAAAAGGTTTTAATATTTTGTTGGATATCCTTTACTTTTAAAACATGATTTAATCTTCTTGGGATGGATTCGACTAATTTTTTTTGTGATTTTACCCCATTCTTCTTGAAGCACCGATTTTAATTGTTGTTTTGAAGAAATGGTGTGTTTGCGAATTCTTGATTCCAATTCTTGCCAAATATTCTCTATGGGATTTAATTGTGGAGATTGTGGGGGTGTTTTTATTATTTCAAGACAGTTATTACAGCAGCCAGAGTCTAACGTTCAAAGCACTGTGCTTGGGGTCATTGTCCTGGTAGAATTTAAAATCGTTATGAAGGTTCAATTTTCGTGCTGAAGATTTCAAATTTTGATTTAAAATGTCAATATACTTGTACCGATCCATTATACTGTCAATAAAAACAAGATTACCAACTCCAGCGGACGACATACACCCCCATACCATAACTCCTCCTCCACCATGTTTTACTGTTGGCACCAAGTTCTGTTTGCGAAATTCTTCCCTGGGTTTTCTCCAAACCAAGATTCTACCGTCAGAACCATATATATTAAATTTACTCTCATCAGCAAATATAACTTCATTCCAGTAATCAGAATTCTTATTTATGTTGGATTTTGCGAAAGCCAGTCTGAGTTTTCTATTCTTTTCACTTACGAAGAATTTTTTCCTGGCTGCTCTACCGTGATATCCAGTAGATTGAATTACTCTTCTAATAGTCTCAGAATTAACAATTACTCCATATAATGCTTGTAAATCAGCAGCAACTTTAGGAGCACTCATTCTTGGATTTTTTTTAAATATTTTGAACGATAATTCGCTTTATTCCATTGGATAGCTTTGATGGTCGGACAGGTCTTCTTTTATCCTGAATCATATTATTCTTTTTATATCGTTTAATGATATTGAAAACTGTTGAATGACTCAAGTTAACTGTTTCAGTAGTTTCTCTAATAGATTATCCACGTTCAATATGCAAATTAATAACTAATTTTCGAATTCCAGGCAAAGTTTCTTTTCGTTTAGCATTCATGGCTGCACAGAGGTAAAAAACACAAAAATTCCAAAACAAACTGGAGAGAAATACTGCAGACGATTTTATAAATTATTGCCAATTGCTTTTGAGTAAAAATAAATACCCAAAAGATATTTTTATTGCTTACTTCAGACGATTTTTGGTTGCATAGTACGTAGTGTCCCATCACTTAAGTGAGCCATTTTCTGCTCCGTTCTAAACAATTGTATTTTTATTAAATTATTATTTTAATATTTTGAGAAAATGTATGTTATGTAATAATTGTTACTAAATTTAAGTGTGAAACACACCCACAAAAAATTTTACATGTTTTTTAAATTTATTTTATTGCAGTTTCCTTTTGTAAAGCACAAGTGTCCCATCACTTTTTTGAGACACTGTATATGATACTTTTTCCTTTCATATGAAATGTCAGTTTGAATCTAGTTGTTTTGCATTTGTTTAGTAGCGCTCATCGACGCCAATCTTAAAATTTTATCCTGTTGCGCGGCTGCCATCTCTCCCTGTAAAACCAGGAAACTCCTGATTTTTCATCACATCCTTGTAGATGCACAGGTCTCCTGGTTTTTAATTTTTACCCTTTGCAAATATTTCCCAGTGATGAATTTATTCAGATAATGAAATTTAAATCGCACAGAATCCATGTCCTCATCCCTAGTCATTTTCAGAATAATTTTTCTCATTAGTTTTTATTTTATCTTAATTGTCTTCAGCTCCATTGTATTTAAAGTGAATTGAACAGGACTTTTTCTTGCTCTACTTAATTTCTTATACCTATTTTTCAACATCATGTGACTTGGAAACACATCTTTTGTGTACTTGTAAATGCGTACCCTTTTTTTTTACATATTAGACCAGGCCTTGGAAACCTCTGATCCTCATGTCACCAAGTGGCTCATTTAATAATTTTAAATGACTTACTTGAGTTCTGAGCATTTTCATGAAGATTAATAATGTTTAATCAGTTAACGTTTGTAATAAATTTTGTTTTGAATCAATAAATGGTACATTGCTAAGTTTATCTACCCAATAGTACGTGTATTAACTATCAAAGGGCGTTAGCCCGGAAGGGATATTAATTTTGTTCCGGAATTTTGCATTGGTTCTCTATGAGTGTCTGAATCACTTTTCAAATTGTTGCGTCTAAATATTAGAGCCGTGCATTATATTTAAAGAAATTAAATAATGAAGAATCTGCATGAATATATGTATGTTTCCCTTGCATTGTGACAAAACAAAACATAGAGACATCAAATTTTGAATATGGGCATCTGGAAGCCCAAATTTGGAATTTATTTTGTAAAACTTTATTTTTGTTCTACAACCTCAACAATTTGAAACAGTTCCATTAACATCGCGTGTATCTTCAAGCATGGATATTTTATGTGCAAGGTTTCTTTGCATTTCTTACTGGTATTATGTTGTTATTATAGCAATGCAGAGAAGTTACAGTGTCTAACGGTATTTTGTGTCAAATGACTTTGAATGTCTGTATCACTTTTCAAATCCCGTTTTGAATCCATGGGGGAAAAAAAAAAACAAAAAAAACTGGTTATTTTATTTTCATCATTTTTAAAGTGCTTTGATGATTAAAAGCTTGTTTGCATTGACAGGATTTTCTCAGTATTGGATATTTACAAAATGAAATTAGCCTATCTAATTAAATATTAATATATTTTGCATCAAAATCACATTAAAAGTAGTTCAGTAATCTGAATCATATATTATGAAATTAACTTTGAGTTCTTTTGAATCGGTGTTGCTGTGCAACGCGAATATCTCTGAGAAACTTTCAGGGTTGGAGCTGTGCATTTGCATTGGAACTAATTGCAAGTTTAATTTTGCATAATATGCCATTATTAATTTTATATCTTATTGTGCAAATTTAAAATATTGTGTAATATAGTATTTTTTCCCCCCTCTCAGGTGTGATATTACTGCTGCCTGTTTACTTTCTTTTTTAAGCCAAATTTCAATTTAGAATTCTATTTATTAGGATGACTGATTCTGGTAAGTTTTGTTGTACATTTGAAAATTCAGTTGCTCCTATTAAAAAAAAAAAATTACTTCTTTGAAATTTATTTTATTTCTTTTTTAGATTCATACAAAGGCTCCATTAAGCGTGAAGCATCTCAAGACGGTATGGAAGATTGTGAGGGTCCTTCTAAACGTCCTAGGAGTGGTGGTCGTGCAGTTGATGTTCGTTTCTTAGTACAAAGCAAAGTATGCACGAGCATAATTTTTTAGCCTCATCGTAGTAGAGGGCTACTTTATCTTAAAGTGTTATAAGTAGAATGCTTGTGCAATAAATATAATGTTTATTAACCGTCTCAGTGTTACCGCCAGAAAATTCCATTATACATGAAAATTTCTGCTAGTTTTTAATGTATCTGATTTTGGTTTGGATGTAAATTGGGAGAAAAGGAAACAAGGTACATAATAGAGTCATTTTTAAATTAAAACCAAGAAAATGCCACTTGTTCATGACATTTTGAGGAACTTTGAAATTTCAGGGCTAAACCTGTAGCGCTCAGACGATTTTAAGATTATCTTGAAAGAAAATGTTCAGTACTATTTTTAAATATACATTCCAAAAACCAATGCTTTTCTGAAGAATTCGTTACAGAAAACATGCTAAGGTGTCTATTTTCAGTTAACAGGTTAAGTGTCCTGAAAAAATAAAAAGTACTGCTATTAGTGAAAAATAATTTTATAATAGATTCAGTGAAGTAAAGTACACTTTACTAAAATTTCTTCTTCCTTTTCATTCCATACTGAGAGGACATTTACCTTTCAGCATTGTATTACTCTTAATAAAAAATAAAAATAAAAATTTAAAAAAAAAATTTTTTTTTTTTTTTTTTTGATAACATTAATAAATTTTATGTAGACTTTTGAAACCATGAGCATAATTACTCTTAAAAAAAAACTCCCAAACATAATTTAGATATCAGGTCCTTAGAACATTCTTCCAAGTTGCCATTCTATGAAACACAAATTGTTTCTTTTATTTGTGGCTCATTTTTTTTTATTATTTTTATTTATTTATTTATTTTTATTGTCTGCTAAAGTCATTTTAATTTGACAATTCATAGAACTGTATAAATTTCAATAAATTGATTTCTTTACATGCTTACAACCTAGCATTCCAACTTCTCAGCTTGTAATTCAATCATATTTCTCTTATTTCTTTTGTATAGTTTATTAAAATAAAATTCTTATGAGCTTCCAAACAGTGAAAAGTACCAATTTGCAGCTGTCAACTCTCCTGTTTTTCATCCCTTTTCCCAGTTTATTTTTAGTCTTTGCTAAAGAACATGTTTTCTGGCAATAAATGAAATAATTGGACTTGAGCAAATGTCTTCCATCCTATCCATCTCAGATTACCAACAATTTTAAAAGCTCCTATTCCAGTTTTAGGATTTCTATAGAGCTTATTAGAATGGTTATAGAATTAATATAAAATTCTGAGAAAATTTGTGAACTTGATTTTCAGAAAGTTAATATTAAGTGTTCAATTGTAGTTCCCCTGCTTCTAAATTTAAACTGCCTTAGAATTTGTCATTGATAAAAATTCATGTTAAATAATATTATTAAGGAAGAACTCTTTAATTGTAATTTCATATTAAAAAATGGAAAGAAAAAAATCTGAATATTATTAAATATCATTAACAGATTTTTCATTTTTATTCTAGTAGTCATAACTCATTTAGTTGCCATCAAGGTATTAAATTATTGCATATAATTCTAGTTAATAATTATTTTGATATCAAGAATTCTTTCATAGTGTTTATTTAGCATGACAGTTTTAAATATAAGGTGACTGTTATTCTCAAGATCTGATAATTTGTATAAAAAAGAACAGGTAATACTTTAAAATCAACTAGTGTTGAATGTAACATAATTTATAAATTAAGAAATTGCAGAATCACAGTGTAGTTATTCAATAGTGTCTTTATTTTAATCATTGTAAAAAGTAGTTTAAGTTTATTCTACTGGGAAATTGAATGAATTAGAATTTAAATGCTTTTAATTTTCATGCTTAAGAAAATGTTTTTTTAACCCTTTTGGTTATTTTTTTACTTATGAAATTGCTGTTCTAGAATGCTGGTGCAATTATAGGAAAGGGTGGATCGAATATCAACAGACTGAGGACTGAGGTGAGTATTTATAATAAATTTATCATTACAGATGTATAAATTTTCCGCACAAGTTATAAATTTTAAATATGGGAGTATTACGTGCTTAATTAATAATATGAATTCAGATGTTTGCAGATGCATTTTGAATTTTAAAAATTTTATAATAAAAAAATAATAAAGTAAATTTTAAGTAAATGATCCCAAAAAAAAATCTTACATTAATGGGACCATTTCAAAAACATGTTTCATAATGCTGTTTAATATTTTGTTCAGTTTGGATAATTTATTTTTCATATTGAAAATTTTCAGAATGAAAGCACCAAATATTTTAATTTTCTTCCACCATAGTTTTAATTATTGTCTCAAGTTTTCAAATTCTTTTCTTTATTTGAAGTTTTTCAGGTTATAAGGCATCGAGATGACCAAAGATTGCTTTAGTCTGAGGTTTTGCCATTTTCCTTACTGCTAAATATATCAAGTCATTAATTTTTCTACTTGTGAAAAATTAATGATGTTACATTATATACAACCACATTAAGTGACACATATTTATCATGGATATTTCGAATATTGCATGCAAATGTTTCAAATCTGAATGTTTATGTTTTATTATTATTATTACTTAAGATTTCAAAGATATGTTATTTATAATATAGTTGTAAAGAGCTTGCATTAATAATTAAATATGTGATTATGTAGCTAAAGTACATTTGCATTAAATTGCTGTAAATAGGTAATTTAAAAATTTTATATCTCGTTTCTTTAATTTTATAGGACTGAAATGTGGATTAATTTCTGCAGTTATAAATTTGTAATGTAAACTGCTAGTGATGGCATTAGAATATCATGAGCTTATTTTGTTTACTGAAATTCAGTAATGCAAAATATGCTGATAATTTGCAAAAACAAAAGCTTATTTTTTAGTATTTTCTGAATTAAGCTAATTGTTTTAAAATATGTAACATACTGATTAGTAAGTAATGTCTTTTGCAAATACAGAGCTGGTTCTACTTAATTTCAGACTCATAACTGACAGTGGCTTCCGTAAGTATCCAAATATGGGTTAGATACGTTTATGGAAGTAATATGCAGGGTTTATTATTCATCTTAATTGCCTCTTGAAAAGTCAGCAGCTAATTAAAATCTTGTGGGAAAAGTGCGTCTGCATAAAAATGAAAGAAGAGTTTCACAGTTTGCTATGTAAAGTTCCAATTGTTACTCTGCTTGTGCACGTATTGGGTGCTGCCCCTTTTAAAGGCAGAATGTGATTTTTTAAATAAAACTTTTTTTGTTCAGCTCTTATTCTAAGAATAGAAATTTAAAAAATATTCTTAATTTATGTAAAAGTACTCTTAAAATTATCGATATGCCTTAAGTACTGGAAATACCAATACATGATATGACATACCTGTCAGCATGCTATAAAAATGAGTTGCTATCTATATTAATAAAAAAATCTGTGCATATCTATTTGTTTGTTACATCATCTCCTTTGAAACAGCAGGGAGTTTAGTTTCGAGACAGGTACCCTAAAATTTAAAAAAATGCGTGAAAGGCCATATTCATCTTCATATGACTTTAATCAGCCGAGATGGTAACAGTGTTGCCACACCTCCTGAAAAACTGCAAACAATCAGGAAATTCAAAAATTGACCCAAGAATCAGGAAATTTAAATATTTTAGTCAAAATCTGTAAAAGTCGAGAAATTTCTTACTGTGATCCCCAAAAAAGAGATTTTCATGCCAATATCGGAAGTGATCACTCTCTTGGGGGATCATGTGTTATATGAGTATTATTTTGATAGCTAGCATGGAACCAGTTTTCACAGCACCATTCAGATTGTCTTTTAAAAAGATAAAGTAAGTTTCCAGCAGCTTTGGTTTCCAATTACCTCAAAAATCCAGAGATTCGCATGCGCACATGCAGTGCATTCTGAACGAAAGTAAATTCCCCCCATTCTAGCATAAAACAAAATCTTTTAAACCTTTTATTCTTTCTTAAATGCCTTATTTGTCATTTTGCAGTAAAATAAAAAATGAAACAGTCATGGAGGCTAACCATTTAATATATCTGTATTCACCAAAATACCATCGATTTTTGTAATTCAGTTTTTAATCCTTAAAAATAATTATCTTTATTTTAATGTTATTCATATCATTTAATGTGTCTTCTCCCTTCCAAATTTATTTATTATTAATTAGTTATACCTTCAAATTTTAGGCACTTTTCTCTGGCATACTTGTGAAACTAATTGTAGCAGTAATATGACATACCATCATGGGATTTAATGAACATATTTTTTACTTATGTATACTGCTAAAAAATGTAAAATATTTGAATTTATTTTGAAATATCATTAAATAGATTTCTTTCTTCCTTTAGTTGCAAAATGGCTGCAAAAAAGACGTTTTTAAATCCTGATTGGGCAGTTTCTACTCTCAATCCTCAATGGAGAAAACAATTCCTATTTGGGGATTATATATATTAGTCATATGTAATTGGCAAATTTTTATGTTATCAAGAGGTACTGTAATTAATTTACCCTCAGCACAGCCAACGTGCACTATGTAGATAGCCTGGAATTTTCTTGAAACACACCTGGTAAAGTTAGGGAATTTCATTCTGTTTGAGTGTCAACACTGTAGTAATTAAAAATTCTGAAAACACAAATTTTCACACTGAAGATGAAAATAAAGGTCATATTCTGACACAGAAAGCACACAATTGTATGTGATGTCATTGTATGCCGAAATTTTTCCTTTAATTTCAGCATGTTAAATAAATAGCTGCTTTAGGCAACGTTTTTGTTTCAGGTTAGGATAATTGACACAGTATCTTATTGCCATGTTGAATACTTTATGGATATTGAGAAAAAGTTGTATTATATTAAATTTAAATCGTAGTATCATACGTATATATGTTAACATGAAGTTTTTTTAAATGCTTTGGCAACCAAAAAAAAAAAAAATTTCCAAATTGGTTGTTGCTTAGAAAGAATGGACTGATTCATAATGAAATGTTTTTGAACATTTTCTCTTCAGGCATACATAGGACTTATAAATTTTGCTTCAACCACAGGGTTGTGTAATAAATGGATGCCTTTTTTTTTATGAAATCTCCTGTAATGCAATTTTATTCAAAAGGTTAAAGCAAACCATAAGAAATTTATAGTTTTAATTGATTAAATATGATATGTGAAATAGGATGAATTTCTTTCAGTTTTTCTGAATAAGGGTTTAAGGCAGTAGAATGTTTGCTTTGGTCTTTTGCCAGTTATGGTTATTAATTTTATTAAGCTTTCCATTATAATGTGTGTGTGTGTGATTTTGGCAAAGCATCAAGGGCTATCTGCCTAAGAGAAGGGATGCCTTCGTGGAGGACTTTGTAAGGGAAACTGGCTCGTATACACGTTACACATGGGGAAAACCACGAAAACGCCCATGCAGACAGCCTGTTCGTGAGATTCGAACCTCGGACCGAACTACCAGTGTTCAGCGACTTTACCGCTCGGCTGCTGGTGGGCCACTTTCCATTATAACTGCTGTAGGAAGAAAATGTTTCTTGGTACATTGTAAGTGAAATGTTTATATGGTTAACTTTTTGCCAAAAATCAGGTATGTTGTAGTTATTACTTAGTGGAAGATTCCATTGGCTTAATGATTTTCAGCTCATTAATGCTTCAGTGAAAATTCATTGATTCACTAATACACCTTAACTCATTATCATTCTACAATAACATGAACAGTAGTTTTTCAAGACGTTACAAAAGGCTTTTGTTTTATAGATGTTTTCATTTAAATATTTTTGTGTTACTAGCTATACAGGCTGTTGTGCAATAAAGCACAAAAGGGTCTAGAATACATTGTTTCTTTTCTGGTGTATTATATTTTTTATGTAAATTTATAAACAAAGGTATTGTGCTTCATTTTTTCAGTTAGTTTGCACTGAATGGGATGCAGTTGTTGGAATAGATTTATTACATTTCAGAGTGTAGCGCTATTTTAAAAGCTCCTTGTTAAAAGAAAGATCTTAAATCTAATTGGCATTTTGTTATTAAAAGTAAATTGTCTATTCACCATATAGTCTTTTCGTAAAAGGTAATTGTTTGCAAATCAATCATTGCCTCCATATTGCGCTTTTCAAAGAAACAGCCTGCAAGATTTTTAGAGAATCTTCATAATACAGCTTCTATTTCTTTCAGTAAATTTCATGGGAATTCAAGTTCACGGTAGTTTAAAAAAAAAAAAAAATTTTTTTTAACAAAAATTTAGTTAAGTGATTGACGGAAAACTAGTTAAATGTATAGTATTGTTCTGTTTATTAGCATGATAAAGAATGTGCTTAATTGTATAACTTTTGACACAGTGAACTATTGTTAGGAAGAACATATTCAACCTTTGATTTTAGGAAAATATATTCTTAACGAAAAGTAAGGTTATGTGTTTGACAAAAATGATTTTAAGAATACATTGAGACCAGAGCTGTTAGTTAAATTTCCTCAAATCTGAGGTGTTGATAGTAAAGTATTTAAAAATTAATTTAAAAAAAAATTAAAGCTAGTGTTTTGTAATTGGTAGACATTTTGACATACTTTTTCAGACTAAATAGTGGGTATAAGTATTTATTGTACTTTATTAGAGTGAATTTTATTATAAATATTGATTTAGATCAAAGTGTATGTAGGCAGTTTTCCAATGAATTTTTATATTTAATAAATATGTGTCACTTGGTAGGTTGTGTAGTTGATGTAAAGGATTGTCTATAATTATTTAGTTTAATGTGCTGTCAAATGCAGTAAACCAAAACCTTGGGCTAATGAAATTTTTTTATTAACCTTTTCTTTCCCTCCATGCCCTGCCCAATCATCGTGGTTCGCCCTTTGCCCGCCTGTGATGATGTCATTATATCTCGACAATTGACCTTACATGACAATTTATTGCTGTCCAAAAATGTGGATTATCTGACAATAATCTGGATTTCTGCTTTCCTACACGTACAATCATGTCCTCCACCCTCCACCCTTTTGATTGATTGCCCATGCGGAAATGGGTCCCTCACCCCTGAAGTTCACAGCAAGTGTTACAGTTCCCGACTGCCCTGGCCCAGAACGGTATGCTCTTGCAAATTTGCCCCTTTATATTTTTACTTTTCTCTAGTTTTATGATTTAAAAGAAAATAAATGAAAATTTATTGCTTCTATTTGTTTAATTGCATTACATAAACAATGTTTAGTTACCAGATCTTTTTCATATGCTTTTAAGCAAATATTTCCCAGTACAAGTCTTGCAAAAAGTACTTTCCCCCCTTTTTAATTTTGTTTGAGAAACTTATTTATTTTTAAACCATGTTACTTGTTTTTCCCTAAAGAAAAGTACTTGTGCTAAACTTTATTATTATTTTAATATAGTTGTCAAAGTTTGCAAGGCTATATTGTACAGGGAAACAAAAGTTATTAAGACAATTAATAAAGAAATTAGCTTTATTTTTCAAAATATTCTAGCCCTTTAAAAAAAATATTAGTATGGAGGACTTATTTGCTTGTTGTAAATATGTGTGGTATAAAGCTGAAAATAATATAATCAAAAGAAAAAGAAAAGAACACATGATGTTTTTTCTTGTATGTGTTAATTTATATTTCGGAAAATAATTCTGTACAGTTATTGTAATAAAATTTTTGACTTTTGATTCCCAGTCCCCCCAAAAAAATCTGTCAGAGTTACCGTGTAATTCTGGACAAAATATATCCGTTTTTAAAGTTGAGGTATCATTTTGTAGCTTCTTAAAATATATATGGATTATACATTTAATATATGAAAATATAATCGTAACTTAAGTTGAAGTAGTGCAACCAAAATTATAGTAGCATCGTAATTGCTTAAAGGAATGACTTTGTAATATGGTAAAAATTTATTTGCCACATGTTTATTAGCTTAACAAAGAATAGTACAACTGAAAGGCATAGATGGCAGGCACTGTAAATTCAGTATGGAGATTTAAGTTAAAATAACATAATGAATAATGATTATTAAAATAGTTAATACAACGGGAATCAGATTTGAACTTCCGCAGCTGGCAGGTTCTATGTTTAAAACCTTCAAAAACTAGTCCTGAAAATTTATGAATATTATGTGTGTTCTTAGTTCTTTAACTCCTTCAATAATATTGGAGGTTCAATTTTTAATCTTGCATTAATATAAAATAATTCCTATTTTGCTATTTATAAAAAAAATCAGATTGAAAAAAATATACCACTTGACAAGAGAAAGCCATGCTAAATTATGTTGTAGTGCTATGGAAATTACAGCTTACATTTAGATATAAAACATATGTAAGCTATTTCAATTTCAGATTTGTATGATGATAAGAGAATAATTTTAAAAAGAAAAAACTGGTTTGTTAGACCTTTATTTGTAGCTTTCTTAGAGTTCAGAAATTAAATTCCTTATACTGTTTCTTAACCCTTTCAAAACGGCACACCTATGTTTAAGATGTTCCCTCAGGGCAGATGGGAGTAAAAAGAAATTGTCTCACACCATGGGGGTTTTGTGTCCCCCTTCAAAAACCTTTGCCTTTTAGGAGCAAAAAAATCACAAAGTGTTTGTCCTAATATCATAATTTTGGATTATTATTTAAGCTATCATATATGCAGTATTGCCAACTCTCGCAGTTTAGGGGGGTGGCTCCCGATTCCTGACCATTCTCCCGCCAACCCGATTTTCAACATATTTCTCCCAACTTTTTCTTATTTTTAAAATCTCTTACAATTTCCATGTAGCTTGGCTGAATACTTCATTATTTGCCTCCAAAAAGTGATTTTTGGCATCTGAAAGTGCTTGTTTTTCTCTAGATGCATGTAAAAAAAAACGAAGTCATTTCATCACAGATATGGCACGTTTTTGCTTTGCATGAGAGTCTGAAACACGTGTCCGAAAAATCGGGTTCCAGTTCTCCAAAGAGAATCAGCACCACTGCGTGTCATCTGGTGTATATTAACCAGTGAGCACAAAGCAAGATCGTGGTCGTTTATTTTGTTCGTCTCGCCAATGAGCAGCATAAACTTCGCTGCTTCCCTGAAACAGTTCAAGAAAGTGCAATCTTTTGTCTATGAAATATCGCAGCTTAGTTATGTCTACAAAAAATTAAAATGCTCATGTACTCTTCAAAAATCGTACATAAATGACTTTCCTGTTAATATTTTTCATCAAGGAAATGTAATATTGCAATGTATATCATTTTCATTGCAATTTTTCGATTTCACACAGAAGGGCTGATTTCTTAAACGTGTGTACATAAGGACAACATGAGTTGTACTGGAAGAAAATTAAATTTTTCTGTGGAAACAAAGGACCAAAAGTTATTAATGCAGAGTGCCTGTTCTCTGCTTTTTTACCGGTGCACAACGTGCCACTGAATGCATCGGATCATGCTGCATCTTTTTTAGAAAAATGGTTCCCGCCAGTAAAAATCCCCAAGAAGTACTCAAGTGCAAGGACAAAAACAGCTGGAGATTCAACAGGTTTTGGTTATAGCACACCTAATTATTAAAACTGTAAAAGAAAGTGCAATTCTTCAGGGTAATTGCGTAGCACTTAATGGAAGGAATGGTATGCATGAAGATTAATGTTGCAGGCATTTAAAAAAAAAAGAATAATCATATTTGCAAATTATGAAATGCACCTGTCACCTCTTAAATTAAGCAGTGAAAAGGGGTCAGCTGCTTTGCCAATGCTTGTGGTAGAACACATTTTTGGCATTTATTATTGTCTTGGGAAGATTGCTAAAAGAAAGGGAAAATTGAAACAATTCCAGCAGATGCATAATGCTGAAATACGTAGGTACATGCTGGTTATCTTGAGAGAAATGTTTAGCTAGAATTGGCGACCACATATATATTTTAAGGAAGAGATAAATGTTTCTAGAGTTAAAATAAAGAAGCTCTGTAAGTTATAAAGTACCTTAATCCTTTGACACGGGCAATATTATTTTTATAATTTCTTATTATAAAAATAATATTGCCCGTGTCAAAGGACTAATATTTTATTATTAGAAACTCAAGAAATTAAATATTATGATCCTAACCAGCACATATCTAGGACTTTGAAACTTACTGAGGTAGTAGGGGGGAAACTTACCTTTTTCCATGTGCATTTCTAATAAATGATGAAATTTGCGAATTTAAAAAAAAAAAAAAAAAAAAAAAAAAAAAATTTAAGAATTGCATTATATGTAAATTTTTTACTTTTTATTTTACAAAGTAAATCATCAGAAAAAATTAAAAAATAAACATTTATGTCATTTTTATATAGCAGAGAAAACATACGAACCTACATAATAAAGATGTTTGGATAGATAAAAAAATACTCAGCAAAGTAAGGATACAAAATAAACTCTGTGTTTTTTTTGTGACACTGTTCAAAGCATGTTTTTTCTTTTTGGTACATGCATAGTCCCACATTGCATGTTTTGCACATGTATCGTGCTTTGTGAGTTTCTCCCTTTTGCTACAAAATGTTCACTGCCTGAACTTGCATTTTACTGGTATGTCCAACGTTATTTAGTCTCTTTTCATCTGGCACATTAAATTTGAGAGGTTTTTTTTTTTTTTTTTTTTTTTTTTTTTGCTTTGGTGCGGTTCTTTCGTTTCCCGTTCGTATTTCGTCCCACAATATTTACAAAATATTTTTAATTAAAATAAAACTTTTACGCGATTTCTATTTTTAATTATAGCAAGGTACATTTGCATTATATTTAAACCACACAAAATAATGTATAAAATCACAATACTATCATAGGAAGCAAGCCTGTTGAGGTCGAAGAAAAATGTCTGGAAAAGAAACACCTTTTCTCTGAACAGGTGTATGTATTGTCTAGTATAAAATAACTCTGTGGTTTCAAGGCCCCTTATCTATATTATCTGGATAAAAATAAACATTTCTATTTGGAAAGCAGCAAACACCATTGTGAAGAGCAGTGATTTCAAGGCGAGACCACTGAGCCTCTAGAGGATTGTGAGAATGCTCTAGTGGCTCAGTGGTTGCACCCTAAAACCACAAAGCAAATGCCATAAATATATATAGGATTTTTATATATGCAGTTTAATTATTGCCATTTATATTGCTTATGATAAAACTAATAAAGTGCGATGAATAACTTTTGAAATTTTAAGTTGTTTAGATTAATAAAACGAAGTTATTTTGTCTAATTGAAAATGAATTTTAAAAGGCATCTAATTTGAAGTACTAAGACCTAAAAAATGTATGGTTCTGCAGTCATTTTGTGTTATTTAGAGGTAAAAGATCAGTAATCAATCGGTTTTCACTAAAAAAATTCAGAAATTTGCGGTTTCAGGGTGCAACCATTGCACATCAAAGGGTTAAGTAAATGGGAGATGTAGTTATTGCTTCCATTGTTAAGAAAAATTAAGTAATTTCTGCGTATGCGAGCAATTTAATTTGCAATTATAAAAGTAATACTACAAAATATAAGTGTAAAGCTTTACCAAAATAAAAATATTGCTTTTTTGGTTATTGTAAGTTTCTTAAAATAACATTTTTTGGTTATTGTAAGTTAATCTTATCAAGAATGAATATTTAAGTTTTTGTTTTCAGACCTTAATAAAGTTTTTTGCTTTTTTGTACATTCAATTTTGCCACCATTTGATGTTCTTAACACAGTTCCTTAGTGCAGAATTACTTTAATTCATGTTTTGCAATAAATGGTTAGTGATCTGGATAAATCATTGAATGATTAGGAAAAGCGATTAGGCTATTCATCTGTTATTAAAAAGTACAAGTAATAAAAGACTTCTTTTTTTTTTTTTTTTTTTTTTTTTTTTACATGTAAGTACTTTTGCATTATTTGTATTTAAGAAATAATAACTGAACTTTCATATATTTTTACTGTTTAAATTGAGTTTATTATTAAAAAAATTATTTCTTTCTACATATTTTTATCATTTAAAAATGTTGGCAGGTATGTATATGTTAAAATTAGTGTTTAATAAGCTTTTTCCTTTACATGAAGATACATAAAAAAATTGCTTACTTTAAGAAAAAAAATTTCAGAAGTGCTATTGAAATTATTCTGAAATTTTAATTTATAAAATACATTAATGAACTTTTAAATTGATTGATAAAACAATTACAAAAATTACTATTTACAAGAAAAAGTTACAAAATCTTTCCTGTGAATTGGAAGGCAGACGCTCAGTTGAGCTCAGTCCCTGATAAAATGTTCATATGAGAATCATTAGAAACATCGCTCTTGTAACTCTTTAAAAAATGAATCATCACTCTCATTCATGTCACTAATTGGCTTAGTTACCATCCAAGTATATCCTTCATCTTATAAATAGTGCTTGCTCTCTGTAATAAAGCTCTTTCCGAAATACAGGAAGTATGAGAAATGTAAGCGATAAGCATAATATGGTAGCACCACTTGGTAAGCCTACATATACATAGTAGGAAGGAGAATAAAAAAAAGGATTAGAGGATATCAGAAACTTGGAATGTTTATATCACGTGGCCGCAAGCATAGTTTGTTTACATTGTGCTTTCCTTCCTCCCTCTGCAGCAGCTGACACCAACATTACGCACAGTGTGATCAAATTGAAGGTTGATCCTAAAACTATATACATTTGAAAAGTAATGGACACAGGACACTGACACTTGCGTGATGACCGCGGGTGAACAAGAACACTCTCTAGTATACCAGCATGTAAGGGTTGCAGCATCCTGACACAGCTGTGGTTGTAATTTGGGGATAGTGATTGGAAGACGTGAATGCTTGTAGGCAGCTGTGCATGCAAAAATGTCATTATGTTTTAGTTGCAGCATATAGTATCATATAATGGTGGTACCGTTAGTAACAATTCTTGTCGTTTAAAATGTTTGCTAGGAGTTGTATTAAACTTTACATAGACTATTAATTACTACTAGATTAGTGGAGGTATGTTGAAAACCATGCTTTACGCGGACTGACATTGGACCCGATCGCACTGATGTGAAGCATTGCAGTTCTGTTTTTACAATAGCTGTTAATCTGCGAAGAATATAATAACTTCATATTTTATCAGGAAATCTTGTTTCTCAGTGTTTTTTTTTTAAATTTATTACTTCCTTGTATGAAGTAAAGGAAGTATTGTAATCGCAAAAATTTTCAGCCATCTTATTTCGATGAAAATATCCATTTTGACTGCTGTCAAATGCAATTTAACAGTATTTTTGTGTGACATCTGTATGTAAGAACAGAATGAAAGACTCTTACCCAAAATAGGTTGGAAAAGGGATTTAAAATGGTTTCGAAACAAGATTTTTTTGCGACGTCTGTGCGTACGTATCTCGTGTAATTCGAAAACGAGTAGCCTCAGAACATTGAAATTTTGTATATGCGACTGCGATAAATGTAGTTATGTACATCCCTTTTTGGTTGCTATCAGCCGCCCCAAAAGTATATATATATATATATATGCTCAGTTTTTTTTTAATTCTTATATGTTGGTAAATTGTTAATTTTTTCTTTAAAAATGATTGAATTATGCTGTTCTTATCTTCTCCTTAAGGTTTTTATGCCTTTAGTTAATCTGCATGCAGTAGTTGTAGAATTAGCAACGGTTAAAATTGTTTAAGTGCAAACTAACCCTAACTTTTTTTTTTTTTAACCATAGCAGCCATGTTTGTTTAGATTTGAAACATACCAGAATACTGAATAAAATCAGTTTCTGCACCCTCAGTGTCTTTTTAGCGAATAGAACCAAGAGTAAACTTTCAGTTTTGTGACACTGAGAAATCTGCCTTCTTGCCCGCTGGCCAAATTGCTTATTTTTGCATAGGAACTCTTTAATTTTAATTGTAAAAATTGTTTAATTGTTTTGACTGTATTTGGTGTTTCATCATTTTCTACATTTTTAAATTTTTAATGAAAATATTTTGAGGTTTTATGTATTTTTGCCTTGCCGTGAAGTAAGAGCTGAATTAATTGAATGAGAAATAAATCTAATGAAATTCGAGAAAATAAGTTTAATGCATATAATTTAATATTCCATACATTCCATCAGATTTTCTGTAAATTGATGTGGATATGATGTGACTCCTAATCCTGGTGATGTTCATATTTGCTTATTGCATAAAATTTGTCAGTATGATGTCATGGTTTGGATATCAAAGGTACTTTCTGATACCCAATGACTATGGTGGCAGGGTTTTAAATTAGTTTCTGTGGCCTATCTTCTTGTCCTGTTTTCAGGGCTTATTAAATGACACAGAGCTAACATCAGTAAATACTACTTCATATAAGGACCCAGTATGCACTTCACATGTCATTATTCTCATCTGTGTTTATTTTAAGATTTATGGGAAGTTATTAGAGAAATGCCCGTCACAGATGTTTGTCTGTCTGTTTATTTGCTTGAATTTGCTTATTTAAAAAGTATATATTTTATGCTGCTTCACTGCAAATAAAACAATACACCAAAAAATGTTTTATGTATGTATATTTTTTTAAATTTATTTTCATCTGATGAAGACTGAGAGGTAGTCTATCAAGATTAAAAATTATTCTGAGTCAGTTTATGTTTGAAAAGGTAATGAAAAACAGCGGAGAAGATTTTTGAATTAATGAAAATAAGCATTATATTTTGGATGAAATCAAATTTTCTGTACCAGAATATAAATTTTCAATTGAGTTACATCCTAATGCTTATTCAAAACATTGTAAAAGCTGATGATAGAATATTTTCATTAAAAAAAAGTTTATGAATGGTATTTATGGATTAGCAATAATAGAAATCAGGGAAAGATAAAATAGATTTCAAACAATCTGCACACCTTGGTATCCGGGGCTGTGTGGGTTAGTGAATTTTGGAGATTACAAGTCATATCTTTTTCAAGTTTTGTTTACATTCTTTTCTTTCTAATTTTTACTTTAAATCAAACTTGTTTTACTTAAATAAAGTATTTTGTTACTTAAACAGACCTGCCAAGTGAGTTTACAACTTATTTCTTCCTACTTAGTCCTAAAAATTTCTCGTATGGTTATTTGTTCAGCTTAATACTTCATTATTTTCACCCAGATTTTTGGCATCTGTTGAAATCATTTGCTAGCTTTTTCTTTTAAAGGGAAAGGTTTGTTAACAGCTAATGAGTAGATATGTCTGAAAGCATCATGATCCGGACATTAAGCACACTTCAGGCTCGCATCAGCCAGTAATCCGCTTCTGCCAAATATGCGATTACATGCTGTGTAACTATTAAATGTAGAATGTGTAAACTATTAAATATAAATAAGTGTAAAATCAATGATGTATCTATGTGAAATGTTTTAGTTGGAGGTGTATACTAAGCAGATACAGATTAGAGCCAAATTCTCGATCCTACAAATTCATATAATATAAAACTAACTGTAAAATATGCTACAACTAGAAGAATAAGGTGTACCTAAAATAATTCTGAAAATTAAATGCAACTCTCTTGTACATTTAACAATAGATTTGTTCCAATATAATTTGATGCTTATAAGAGGTTTTGTTATGCATTTTCATAGCTTCTTGTTCGTCATAATTTTTTATTTAAAAATATATGCCATTCTTAATTTTCATTATCTGTATATCATTTGTATTATACATAAGGAAAAATTTCCAGAAAGAAGTATATTATTTATGGTTGAATTGAGTTTGAGATGATTTCTTATAAAATTTATTTTACGTGTTTACCCCCCCCCCCCTCTTTATTAGTGAACATAATTCAGTTATCAAGTATCTATTACTTAAAGTTTCATGGGAAGGATATTTTTGTACTTTTGTTAGGCAGTACCCTTTTTTTTTTAATTGAAACTTTCTTCTATCAGGATAAATTTTTAAGAGGGGGGGGAGGAGCTGAATATTTTGTTTTCCATTCATTTTGAGAAATAGAATTAGTTATTCTCTCTTTGACTTCTTTCAGAATTTCCTTGAAATAACATAGTTGTAAATACGGCCCTAAATTGCTCATCTGTACATGACTGTTATGTGGCTATAATCATTGGCTATTATGTGGTATACTATACATGTGCACAAAATTATTTACAGATGTGGTATTAAAGTATAATTATTCTGTGTTCTATAATTAAACTCCATCCTCTCATTCTGCTGTTTAATTTCACAGAATAATTGTTTATGTAAACCTTACCAAATTTTAGAACAAAATATAGCCCCAAAATTTATTTTTTAGTAAATATGTTATTTCATATAACGTCGTGTATGATGTAACATCTTAACTCCATGTATTTTTAGCTAAAGAAATAAATTTAGAAGTGTATGTTCTTTCATTTTGGATGATAATCTTAAGAATAATTATTTTCACATTTTTTAAAAAACTGAGATTGTGTTTCATCAGCGCTTTTTTTTAATATGTTATTACTTTTAAATCTTAAAGTAAGAAATTAGCTATATGTAATGTTTGTGTGTAGATGCTTATTGGAGGGAATATTTTAGTTTAGAATTATCGCATCTTATGATTTCTGCACAAGTGTGTGCTGTTTCCCCCCATTTTTTAGTAATAGTCAAATGTAAAAGGGTAGCCGATATTTTTCTTCTGATATATGAAGTATGATGAATGACAATTAAATTTTATTGGGTATAACATTAATGCTTATCTGCCGAATTGTTTTACTTTTTAGTATATTAGCTATTGTGGCTGACATTGAAACTTTAGGTGACATTCTGTTGGACATACTTCCAAAACTTGATGATGTAAGTTTTCTTATTTTTTTAACTTGATAGCTCTTATTAGTATTATATGTGAAGTATCTTATTGTTGTGATTATTATTATCTTATTGTGGGTTATTTTCTCAGTACTCTCATCATCGTAATATGGAATTTGACTGTGAACTGCGCATGTTGTTACATCAGAGCCATGCAGGCTGTTTAATTGGTAAAGGTGGTTCAAGAATTAAAGAATTGCGAGAGGTAGGATAGATAGATCATATTCTTAATGATAGCATAATATTGCAAGTTTTTGGAATTTCAGTTTATTTTGCTGTATTATTTCACTTGAGTGCTTAATATTATGTTTTAAATTTTCTTTTCTACTTTATAGAAAACTGGAGCTCAAATTAAAATATTTAGCAATTGCTGTCCTAATTCTACTGAAAGAATTGTGCAAATAACTGGGTATCCTAATGTTGTGGTAGACTGTGTGAAAGAAATATGCCACATAGTTAGCACGGTAAATTTATGATTAGTAATTGTTTATATATTTGTAACAATTTTGCAATATTAATAAAAAATAAAGTTTTTATGTTTTGTTTTTAAATATATGTGGTAAATTTGAAAGTCTGGACTATGTGTGTAACTTGTTTTACCCAGTAGTAGAGAATGTAAAAATTCCCAGTCTGTGAGGTTTTCCTTCTTCAATGATTGAATTTTATGGAAGTGCAATGGGGAAAATCACACCTTTTATTGTACAAAGGAATGTACGAGGGCTATCCAGAAAGTAGATTACGTTTTGGAATAAAAAAATAAACAAAGTATAGGAAACAAATTTTATTATATACAGATGAAAGCCACACTCAAATACTACTTTTCTACATAGTCACCATACAAATTAAGGCATTTATCGTAGCGATGTACGAGCTTGGAAATTCCTTCGTCGAAAAATTCGGCCGCCTGCACCTTCAACCACTTCGTTACCTCTTCTTGCCTTCCATCTTGCACAAAACTTATGGTAACCAAGCTTTTCGCTGATGATTTCGTGCAACAAACTTCGCGAAATTTGTGGAAAACTCAAAGAAAGTTCCGTTATTGTGAAATTTTGATTTTCACGGACTTTAGCATCGACTTTTTCGAGAAGTTCGGCGGTCACTATGCTGGGTCTCCCACTTCGATCTTCGTCGTGAACATTGGTTCGGCCATTTTGAAATCTTATGACCCACTGACGCACTCCACCTTCAGTGATAATGTTGTCCCCATACACTTCATGAAGCTGCCGATAGATTTCTATCGGTTTACAGTTTTTTGCAGTCAGAAACCTTATTACTGAGCGCAGCTCGCGGGATTTTCAATTAACGCAGACATTTCAAACCGTCACAGTATCTGAACGGAGCACAGCACGAACCTCTCACTAGCACGGCTAGATGCAGACTGAGCTGCGCAACGCTCTGACCCCAAGATGGCCGCGCTAGCCCCGCCCCTAGCGGACACAGACGGAAACGTAATCTACTTCCTGGATGGCCCTCGTATGTCCTATAAGTAACTGAAGTTACCCTCAAATAACTATTTATTACTTATAAGTGTAATTACTTTCGAAAAGAGTGCACATCTTCTGTGGGAAAAAAGAAATGAGAAATGATAGGTGGCAGTAGATATAAGGATATCCAAACATTTGTCTCTGAAGTTACACGTTCATGACTTCTGGTGGGCATTCGAATAATCAGAAAACATGCCTGATAATGCTAAATGAGATGCAGACATAAAAATTAACATAAATATTAGAATTTTGTTAAAATTTTTTCTTATTAGGAAATCTGATTATTGTTTGTGTTTTAGGCTCCAATAAAAGGCCCAAATAAACAATATGATCCTCATCATTTTAATCCTATGTTTTGTAATGATTATGGCGGTTTTGAAGATACTGGTCCAAAAGGAAGAGGTCGAGGCTCTTTCCGTGGAAGGTAAAGTATATATTATCCACAGTTTGATTTGCAATGCTTGTTTGTATCCTAGTTGGTTTTTTAACAAATAATTCAATTTATTAATAGGCCTCCTCCACCTGCATGGCGTGATGAGGTAGTTGATAACTTCAGTTTTGGTGGTCCTGATGGAGGTTCTAATCGTGGACGAGGGGGTTTCGGAGGAGGTTTCAGTGGTAGAGGTCGTGGAATTATGGGCCAAGGACCAAATATGGGAAATCGCTGGAGCCAAATGGGTGGACCTGGTGGTAATGCTGGTGGTGGAAGTCTTGGTGCCTGGGCTACAGATAGTGGTAATTTCGGGTAAGTGTTCCCTCCCCCTCCCTCAAAATTGCTGAAATAAATTTCTTTATATAACTTGTATTATATATTTATATAAAGAAACTTTATCTTGGGCCAAATAGGAATTTTTTTCTTGTGGTGGGGGATTTTAAATGTATAATTCTTAACATTTTATTAAAAACATCCTCTTGAAAAATTTGGTATTTAGTTGCCCTTAAAAATTGAGATATTGAGAAAAATTTCTTATTGTCAGGGGGTCTTATTAAATTCTGTTCTAATACATATTTTAATATGGCTTTAAAACTTGTGCTTGTGTTTGATTTATTGTCATTTCCAATTAAAATGGTAGTGAAGGTTTTTTAGTTTTAATTTAAATGTACAGTTTTTTAATAAAAGTTATAATTTGACCCCCCCGAAAAACTACTATATTTGGTTTTTAATTTCTGCAAAAGTACATTTTAATGTTAAAATTTATTAATCTAAAACATCATTATGTGTTTAAAAAATACAGCAGTTGAATATTATACTGCCTTCACAGCCATAATCCATTGAAATTGGTGAGTATTTCTAGGGCATAATTAAGCATCCTTATTTAACATCACTTTTCTAAAATGATCACAACCACAAAAGACTATAATCATCTTGAATCATAGGTAGTTAGTTGTCTAAAGGCCCCCTTCCACACGAGTACGCTCGCGACGTAGTTGACGCAACTTTTTTGACGCCATCGTAAATTCGCTTGACGCAGAAGATGTAAAACTGAGTTCGCTCCTGTTCAACTTTTACATCCGTAACGTGAACGAACAGCCAATAACCGACCAAGTTTTTATCACGTGTCATAATCAGAAAACCTTCTTGCTTACCGTTTCAATATGGCGTCAGAACCACACAGAAATGAGTTTTTATTTAGAAATATCATAACTGTATACAGCAATAAAATAATCAGCATTGCTCATGCCATCTTCAGATTTCAAATTCTCATATCCATATGCTTCACCTGTTTATAACACCAGAAGTAATAGGAAACTAAATAAATTGCAGTTTCTACGAAATCAAAGTTTCTGCCTTACAAAATTCTCCTTAATTATTATAAATATTGGCTGTATCGTGTAATAAAAAAACTCTATAAATATCCCTATATTAAATACACCAAAAACTAACTTCAGGAATATAACAACTTCTAAAATAAAGCAGTTGACTGTGAGAGCGTATTCAATAAAATACAATTATGAAATTTTGGAGGAAAGTTGCAACTTGTGTCATACAGCAATCATTTATTGAAGTTTAATTAAATTACCTTTGCTATGACTTCTACTTGTTACATTATTTTTCACAAGCACTGCTGTCACGGATAGCTGAGTGGTCAGCAAGGTGCTTTGCAAAGGGAAAGGTGGCGAGTTCGAACCTCGCACCTCGCCCGTAGACAATATATAATTCAGTTAGCTTTTTCTCATTTTGAAACGTGTTTCTTATATTTAATCATGAATCATTATATTTTTATTTTACCTATTATTATTATTGTTTTCATTTCTTATTTTATTCATTATTATTATTGTTTTTAATTTAGTTTAAAAACATGCATTCTAAATAGAAACCCTTATGTAATAATGTATCTGCATCTCTTTATCATATATCTATAAATTATCTCTTTATTTTTACTTTATTGCGTATTTTATCATGCACATAATTTCTCATAAACTGTCCAAAGTCTGAACCTCATTCTAAATTCAAAAATAAATAAAAAGAAAAACAAAAGACCAAGCCATGGGGAGTTTAAAAAATATGAAGTTTGTTTTATTATATGGTGGATGGTGTATATAAAGAGAATTAAGTAATTAAATTCTCTTTATGTACTGTATTCCAAACCAATTTTATAAATCCTAATTTTCATACAATATAGAATCTGCATGTCTGTCAAACTGGTCGATACTCATTCTGAAGTAATTAAAAAACAAGTAATATAAAAAAAATGAAGTCAATTCCTTCTTAGGTCAACAAAGAAAAAATTTTAAAAATACAAAAATAAATAAATAAATAAAATACAAACAGAATTTTTTAAAATGAAAAAATTTTAATTTTTGAAAAAGCTGTATTAACATCAGGTGTTTTAAACACTACAAGTTTAAAAAATTGTATTTGAACTTGAGTGGATGGAAAAAAAAAAGTATTTTATTAACGACTGAAAATTTGAACGAGATATACAGAGAGTGTGAGCTTATAGTAGGAATTTAATAATTCCAGATATTCATTTCGCAAACGAGGCAGTAAAGAAAAAAAAAATTCTCTTTGAACAGGTCGCTCTAAATAAATCTTTCGGAACCATTCTCGTCGTCGTCTTCTTCTTTTTTTTTTTTTTTTTTTGCCTCTGCTTTAATGAAGTAAAAGTTTCAGTTATCAAAAAATCATCTGATTTGGGCAACTTACCGCAAACATATAGAAGCACAGCGAAGTAACGAAATACAGCTCCGTCAACGCTATATTAAAGCGCCACGTGATTTTTGCGCAAAATATTTTTATTGGTTAAACGCACTCTTCGCAAGTGTACTCGTTTGGACGCTTTTTCGCTGGTGACGTAAAAGCGTGTTTGTCAGCTACGTTTCGAGCGTAGTCGTGTGGACGGGCCTTTAGAAGGAAGTCACTGTACGCAAAAACTTTCCTGCTCATTTAACTGCTTGCAGTGAATGTTATTTAGAATCAATAATGCATTTATTATCAAGAGTTTTGAAAACCTTATGTAGTGAGTGTTTCAAAAAGCAGATCATAGAGCATTAAACATTGTTGAGATGCTCTGAAATTGTTTGTTAAAAAATATGTCTTTTCTTCCACAGCAAACATCTTAGTTCTTCCTTAAGAATCTATAATCCTTCCAGAATTGGTCCTGTGTTTTTTATAGTCCATAAGAAGAAGCACATCAGTAATTTCTTCAAAACATCAGAATTACTAAGATTTTACAATCAGGATAAAGCTGACTTGTAATAAACCCCCCCACACACACACACACACACAAAACCAAAAGTTAAGTTTTGGTAATGAAGATCATGACAGTAAGATATTTCATGAAAACTGATGGAATGAAGTTTTTCACCTAAGATCCATTACGTTCTTAATCAAATCTAGGCTTTGTACAGGAATAAAAATGAATTTTTTACGTATGTATTTAAAAAATCGGTTTTTTAATGCCCCTAATATCTTTGCAAGACTGTTTGAAAGATTTTACTTGGATGATAGCAATAACCTTTCTGTTTAGGAAATCCTCTCCCCCCCTTTTTCCCCTTCTCCTGTCACATTGAGCAGTCGTATTCATCATGTATCCAGTTTCATTCTGAAGAAAGAGCTATTCCATTTTGTGTACAAATATTCAAAATATAAATATAGTGCAAATTTCAGTTATGTTTTATATTTCCTTTTTGATCAAAAGTGACTTGCAGTCAAGCTTTCCTTTGTTAAGATAATTTTGCAGTGATGTCAAAATTGAACCTTTTAGTGTAATTAAGGCAGAGGCAGTTGCGGATCTTATTTCTGCCTCGCTCATGAGTCTAGATGTAATGTGGAGATTGGTTGAATCATGCTGTGCTTGTTGAATGTCTGTGTTAAACATGGCTTAGGTCAGGGTTCTGGAATACCATTGGTGCTGCTTCTGACTGCGAACTTATTTTCAGAGGTTTTGCAATTCTGTATTTCAGGGTTTCTTAAACTTTTTTCAATCATGACCCCTTTTATCACTGAAATTTTTTTGCAACCCCCAGGACCCCATAATATTAAAAAAACATTTTGTGGGGACCCATAAGTATTGTTCAAATTCGACACAGGCATGGGTGAAACTGTCAATTTTTTCACTTGTACGTTAATATACTATTGCAGTTTCAGGTCATTAACTTTAATTTTTAATTTTAAGACATAAAGCAATGTGAAAATTTTAAATAAGTAACAGACGAAATGATCCTGATATCTGAAAATAAAATATAAAAGCCCTTATAGGTGCTTACTTTTTCTCTAAAGCATTTTTTTTTTTTTTTTTTTTTTTTTTTTTTTTGTGTCTCTTGTTTTATTATTTATTTATATATATATAATGAACACACATTTTTCCCCGTACCAAAGCCGAAACTAAATAAACCACTTTTCTGCATTGTATGGAACATCAGATGGTGAATCATACTCCCAGAAGTAGCTTCTCACTTCTTTCTCTGCATTAACATAACCTTTGGTGCACGAGAGTACAGACAGGTGCATGTCGTTCTCTTGGTCAAGGAATTGCAAAAGCGGTAGAAAATTCCAGTACATTCCATATTCTTTTGCTCCCACCCAGTGCTACACACATTTAGATTCCTATCAAGATTTTCATAATTTACATTCTTGTTCCATGTGGTCAGTTCATATTTGCGTTTATTATGATCGGTATGCTTATATTATTATGAGCATATGTCTGAATATTTATAATAATATCTTTGCAGTAACAGCAGATGTATAGATAAACTTCAAAAATGGGTAAGTGTGTTTTAACACAGATTAGTTTTATAAGGAATAATATTTGGAATGGCAGAAGTTGGGGGTTCTCCCTTTTCTCCCCAAAATCTCGAATATTGAAACCAAACCAGTTTGTAGCAAAGCAAGCAAAAGGCTTTTTTTGGGGGGCGGGTCACTTTCCAATCTGGATTGAATAGGACTAAAAGTTCTGCGGTCTACCAACCCAAGCGAAGAATGATTCTATTCTGGAAATTTAATGAGTCTGTTCAAAATTAGAATGAAAAACACCCCAGATTGATAAATCTTTTTATTAATCAATGTGAGTATGGCAGCGATGTGTCCTGCTCAATGATGCCACATGATCACTTGACGTTGAAAACCGGACGAAGCAAAAGGGCATTTTCCTTTATTTAGTTATTTATTCTCCAAATACCGTCAGCTGTTTATTCCGATTCCGTAATATCACACATGTATTGCGCAATAACGTTTGTGATATTTCCCAGAGGAAAAAAAAAAAGAGTTTTACTGTGCTTGCTAAGCAGATTATTTTTCTGTTC